ATTTGCCTATTTAACCTTAAAATGGATCACTTCGCTCTAGACTGACACTTCACCATTTACAAAAAAATAATTTAGTATCATTTTAGGACTCAGACATGATTAAGAGGTGATTTGTGATCGCTCAGCAACTCTTATGATCACTGACACTACATCTAAGATCACCTACTTCATTGTTGAGGGTTTGACAGGGTGCCATTCATTTCAAACAAATATTTTATCTATAAAAAGTAGGGCTAAACTATTTCAACAGTAAGAGGATAAAGTAAAGAATACAATACTTTTTGTCAAAATTTCCATAGGAAAACGTAATGTCCTTTACGAAAGGTGTACATAATAAAGTCTTTAAAAAGTAAGAATGCATCTTTATAGTGATCAGGGGATTTAATTTTTCTCATAACGGATCAAAGTATAAATAGTGTCATTTAGGGGGAAAAGATTATTCTGAAAAAGAACTGAATTCATTTTCACCCATTTAGGTATTGAGTATCATCAGTGCTTATGTACGGGACACAATCAACAGAATTTGGGGTTTATCATACACAATGTTCCTCTTACGATGTGAACATAGCAAACATGGCTATTTCTTCAGTGGTCGGAAAACCCCCAAATAAACCTAAAAGTTCTGACCTCCTGTGAGGTTCCTAACTATTGGAGACATTTTGATGTTCTGAAGAGGTAAAAACCACTGTTACTTTAATTATGACCATAAGTATATCCACCTGTACAACAATTACGATGGACATAGGCGTAGTATTTTTTCGGAATTTTATCAATAATAAAATAGGCCAGATTATATATTAAACAAATTGTAAAACTTGCTTCAAAATGCGTTTTAATCTCGATTGCTTTACAAAACCCTAAAGATTGGTTCATGACATTTGAAAAGAACAAACGTCTTTTATTTTAGAATAAATTGGCATGAAAGTATAATTAATATAATTGTTTTTAGATATGATTTGATAAATATGATATAAAAGTTTTGTTATTTTAAAATTTTGGATATATTTTTTACAGGGAATGTTTCCTATTGAGAACATGACCAATATACAACCGTCAGAAGACACAGCGTTAATTGATTTGGAATTTCCTGTGTGTCAGAATATTACAGCAACCTTGAAATGTGGAACATATCGTATACGTCAGGCAAAATGTTGAATCGCGAATTGACTTTTTAAATATTCGCGTTTCATCAGTGTCTTTTCAGTTACAATCATGGTTTTTCTGTGTTTCTGTTTTAATTTTTAATCGGTCTGCAGTTCTGAAGAAATGGCAGAACGTCGAGGCCGTTCCAGGACAAGGGTTACGTCGCAATATAACAGCAATGACCCTACAAACTGGACGAAAGCGAAGCTTCGAGGAAAGCTACAAGAGCTCGGCATATGGACTCGCCCCAGCTATAGTATAACCGATTTGATTCGAATGTATCAGAACCAAAGCGTATCTCGCGTTCGGAACATTGTCAGACCTTTATTACCGTCAGAGGAAACAACTGTGACCACAGAAACAGAATCTGTGCCCACGGTAAACGAATTGACAGGGCAGAGGGACTCTGTCACCGTGGTTCAAGACAACGAAGCATGCTCGTCTTCATCTTCCACGGATGGCAGGAAGACTGAAGTCACACCACCACGACGTAGAACAGGAAAAAGAGGAAGCGCCGTCATAGAAACAGCGACGATAACGAGACCAACGCCATCTTTATACAACAGGATGCAACCAGCGGCGAAGACCGCCAGATACACGGACGACAATGCAAAAGGTACGTACTCTTCTGATTGGGTTTGCATATCATTATTGAATAAGTGGAACCAGCATGTTGTAGATATACTTAATATATGATTTTAATCTTCCCTTATAGTATTTAAAAACAGGTAAAGGCTCATTTGAAGTTGGTGATATCTAAATGTAGAGTTGTGTGAAAGACTTTTTTCTTCCAAAAAAAAGCATAAAAAAATACACATTAGCGTTCACTGACTGATGCATGTTTGTTATATTTGAAAACATTTGAAAGTTTAAATATGTTGTCTAGTTGTGTTACAATTTGATAAATCATACACCACACAATATGATAGAACTGATTGTATATATATATATACTGTAAAGCGCTTTAGAGTGGCTTATTCTAGCTAAATAGGGTGCTAAATCAAATGCTGTAAATTAGGTTATAACAAGTGATATGGTTGATCAAACTTCATTATGAATAAACAAGACATGATTTGTTTTAAGAGCTCCATCATCAGATGATGGTGTTTTAAAAACGAATCCCCAGCAGGTTCGGGGAAAGAAAAGGTATGCGAAGTATAACGTCATGTTTTCGTAAGAGGAGACAAATATGTGTCTCTGAAAAATGTTAGTTTGTAGCTCACCTGGCTCAAAGGGGCCAAGTGAGCTTATGTCGTGGTGCAGCGTCTGCCGTCAAGATGTTACTTTAAACAACTTCTTTTTAATAACCAAAATGTCCAGGGTAATGATATTTGATCAGAAGCATACTGGGATGATTTTGATTACCTAGTTTGTTCAAACGAATGACCTTCGCCCCTTTTCAAAGTCACAGAGGTCAAATATGTTTAAAGTTTTAAAACCACTACTTATGAATAAACAAAAGGTCTAGGTTGATGATATTAGTCAAGAAGCATGCTGGAATAAAGGGCAACCAATTTTGTTCAAATGAACGACCTTTGCCTATATTCAAGGTCACAGGGGTCCAATATGTTGAAACTTTAAACAACTTCTTCTGAATAATCAAAGGTCTAGGGTGATGATATTTTACCAGTAACATGCTAGGATAAAAGGCTCCCAAGTTAATCGAATGAATGACCTTCACACATATTGAAGGTCACTGGTGTCAAATAATTTCAAAACTTTAAACAACTTCTTCGGAATAACCAAAGGATGCTGATATTTGACCTGTAGCATGCTCAGACGAAGAGCTATCAAATTTGATTGGTTCATGTGAATGACCTTGACACACTTCTGGTCAATTGTGTATAAATCTTTAAACGTTTGTTCAACTTAATGCTCTCGTTTGTCTTTCAAGGTCACAGGAGTCAAATTTGTTTAAATCTTTCAACATGTTCTTTTGAATGACTTTGAGTCAAGACACAGATATTTTGCCAATAGCTTTATTTTAGTCTTCTATTAAGACTACAATTGTGAGATTAAACCAGGTGAGTGATGCAGGCCCATTTGACCTCTTGTATGCTATTCTTCCCCCACTGTAATACCTGGGATCTTTGTCATTTCCTACTGGGTTTTTTTCCGGCGTTGTCTTCCTACGGAGCTTTCTGTATATGACATAGTTTGTGTGAGGACGTTTAATCCAAAATAAATAATCTTTTAATTGACCTCTTCTGTAATCCGTCGTCTGACACTAACAATTATTGTTATGGTTATCTATCAGGAAGTAACGGACGTATATTTTTTATAACCGAGATTGGAGATTTGTTTATTCATCAAACACATATATCGTGTGTAACAGGAGGTCAATCTCCAGAAACATTCCATAATAGCAGACCAATTGGATAGAAGGATACATTCTAAAGCATATATATGCTATGTAATTGGCATAGCACCACATACACACACACACAAACCCACACCCACCCACACACACCCCTTTTGCTTAGTAAGGAATAATTACAAATAGAAAACATACCATCCATTTTGACAATAATTGGATTGAAATGCATGTAATAATAATTAGGCATGTAGGTATGTCGTAAATATGTCATAAAGTCATTATGACGCCTGTCCATCGACTTTAATTGGACATTCTTAATTTACATAACATTTTCCGTACTTCTTGACAGTATAGATACAAATATGGTTCAAATTTCCTTTCGTTTTGAAAATAATTGACCGGTTTTACCACGAGAATAATGATCTACGTCATCATACCATTTGTAGGTAAATGGATCTATTAATAGCTCCTTGAGGTGTCTCTGTTGACCATATATGCTTTTGGTAGGTCCATATATTGTTTAAACCGGTATTATTGGGAATAGACTAAATAAAATCCAACAATTTGAACTCAACAAGACCATTCAGTTCAGTTGGAGATATCAGTAATTATATAATACTTGCTATTTTGTTATCATCTTTGATTACACACAGGGTAGCTTATGCCAAAAAGTCATCAGTCCTGTTTCATATCTGTTGTCAATGAGTAATAACCAAGCTATACATATACCATATAGTTAGGGGGGGGGGTTGTTAAGGAAAAGAAGCCGACAAAGTGCTGTTATTTTACAGCCCCGTCAAAACTTCAACATGGCAGCCATGGTGGTCGTTTTTGTAACATGATTGCGTATCATGGTTTTCCTAAACAACACCTATTTTAAACTTCTTTTCAAGTTCCACCAGTGGGATTGAGCTTGTCCAACTTCTCCTAATCTATTGGGCCAATTTCAAAGAAAGTTTACGGATATGACAACTGTCCCATGGAATGGTGCATCCAAGTAGTACTTTTTCATTCCGACCCTTTTAAAAGGAGTTATGGCCCATTGTTAAAAAAAACACACCTTTGTCTGCCTCCTAAACTACTGGGCCGATTTCTATGAAAGTTTATAGTAATTTCACCCTGATGTCGTGCATCAGGGTAGTATTTTTTCATTTGACCCTTTTTAAGGAGTTATGGCCTTTGTTACAAATAATTGTCGGGGTGGCCGCCGCCAGTACCTGTATACTCATTGTCGCAAATTCTTTTAACCTTCAAGTAAATTATCGACTAAACAAAGTATTCTATATTTAGGGTATAATCATATCTCTTAATGATTCTTTGCCGTGTTTGTTATGTGAAGACCTGTCAGGACCGAATGTTTGACTTTGTTGGTTTATTTATAGGTTTTAACGTCCTATTAACAGCTAAGGTCATTTAAAGACGCGCCTCCATCTGTGTTGTATATGTGTGCATGCATGCATGCATGTGACTGGATTTGTTCATGTATTTTCCTCCTTGTGAGAACGCGGATCTGATGCCGACTTTATAGAACTATCTTACTGAAATTCCATGCCGAATGCACCAAGCATAGTATTCTGCCAGGTAACATTATACTGACAACATGTGAACCAGTTGTTACCATTACCCTAAAAGCTGAACGTTAAGCAGTGAATAACAAATATCATTTTAAGGACCTTTGTATATCCTGGCCTGGGGACAGAACCCAGGTGATAGAACCCATTTCCTTCCGCACTTTGGCAAAAGTTCAATATCAAAGCCAGAGGTGAGGTGTTGCCAAGTAAGGCGCTAGGAAATAAAAGGCAATTACAGTAATGAGAAATGTCTCAAATATTCAAAATATTGCAAGGGTATTAAATCAATCCTATGCCTTGTAATGTTATTCACACCGGGGTGATTTACGAATTAATTTACAGCACATTGGTTCGCATCAATAAATGTCACTTTTTCTGTAGTATGTATTCCAACGCTTTGACTTGTTTGCCCTCTAAAACAAAAACCTGGCTCTTAGCAATATTGATAATAAATATGACATTGTTTATGTGGTGTATGTAGATCTAAACCGTACGCAATGGCGCATACAAATATAGTTTAATCGTTTTTAGCTCACCTGCCCGAAGGGCAAGTGAGCTTATGTTATGGTGCGGAGTCCATCGTCCGTCCGTCCGTCCGTCGTCCGTCGTCCGTCGTCCGTCGTCCATCTGTCCGGCGTCAACTTTTTACTTTAAACAACTTCTTCTCAATAACCAAAAGGCCAAGGGTACTGATATAGGGCCTGTAGCATGCTGGAATGAAGGGCTACCAAGTTTGTTCAAATAAATGACCTTGACCCACTTTCAAGGTCACTGGGGTCAGATGTCTTAAATCTTCAAACAACTTCTTCTCAATAACCAAAAGGCCCAGGGTACTGATATTGGGCCTGTAGCATGCTGGGATGAAGGACTATCAAGTTTGTTCAACTGAATGACCTTGACCAATTTTCAAGGTCACAGGGGTCAAATGTCGTAAAATCTTCAAGCGACTTTTTTTCAATAAGCAAAAGGGCCATGGTACTGAAATTTGGCCTGTAGCATGCTGGGATGAAGGACTACCATTTTAGTTCAAATGAATGACCTTGATCCACTTTCAACCTAATGTCCTTGTTCAACAACAAGGTCAGAGGCGTCATATGTTTAAATCTTTTAATAGGTTCTTATGAAATCTTAAGATTACAAGTGTAAGATTAATAACAGGTGAGCGATGCGGGCCCATTGGGCCTCTTGTTTGATGAAACATCTTACGCTGTCATATTTGGGAAAAGTGATTTTTTTTATCAATTGATAAATTAAACATTGCTGGAAGATGGAATAGCGTTGGAAAATTATCTTTAAGACTCTGTAAAATAAGAGAAACAAATTCGACTCTTCGATAATGAATATTTTCCCTTTCTTGACAATCATATCCGCGCTTCCAAAACCTACGGAGATTAAAAGTAGTTGTTGATTTGGTATTCAAGGGCTTGCTCCGAATATCATCACTTCTGTTATAGATGTCGACTACTGACGTACAAGCTAGCAATAAATGGTTTCAAATGTTACATGCTGATAAATTACTATGGGCAAGATTATGGTTGCTATCATGATTCTATAGGGAAATATACAGTGAGACTTAGTGTGATCGTCCTTTGCTCATACTTTGTCTTGGTTTACTCGAGTTCGAGTTACAGCTTTATTGACACTTTGGTATTCTATTGTTGTTTTTTTGTATTCTGTCCTAACTTCAACTATCGATCTCCGACATCAACTTGCCAACTCTAATCGCTT